CTTTCACTGTATTTGATGTTGTTATAATTTGTGGAGGGGAAGAAAAAAAACAAATGGTTTAAATGAGGATACAGGTGGACCCATTGCAACAATGAGACGTACAAGTCGTTATGTCGAAAACGAACTTTACAACTTTGGGGGGGGGAGAGGGTTGGGTAGGGGGGTGAGGGGAGGATGGGTTGGGAAGGGGAAACAAAGGAGGAGGCTACAATGCTTGATAAGAAATGTACTCATTATCTTGCCCATGTAATTGTAACCCCTCTGTACAGTATTTTCACAATTAAAAAAAAGAGGAGACAGACAACAAAGCAGCAATGGAAAACCACCTTTGAGAAGTGCTCCTGAGATTCCTACACTGCCCAAGCTCAAGGATTAAAACAACTGTGGCATCTCAATCACTCATTTCTGGGAGGAAGTCAAAGCCAAGAGAGAGAATTGAGTCAGTTTAGCATGATGCTGACATAAAAACAGAAAACGTGCTAAGAGAGACTTTGTAAGTATTCACATTAAAAAAGTCATAAATATGTGAAGCCATGCTTGTTATTTATCTCAACTCATTCCACAATGCATCCACAGAAATTACGGGAGGAAGATGGCAAAGGAGAAGCTAGGGGCTAAACAAGCTCTCACATAGAAACCAGTTTTAGTGTTTCAGTGAAAAGTCCAAGGGCACTGACTGTTGGGAAGTGGGATTTGGGTCCTGAGAGGTGGTTACCTCACTGAGACTGTGCCCCTCCTGTCTGAATCCACTTCTGAAACATCATGAGATGAGAAGCTTGGCTCCACTTCCCACTATCTCAGCCGGGCACAAAAGTCCATAAGCTTCAAATCTCCAAAGAACCAGCAAAAAAAAATCACATGCCACATGCTGCAAACCAGTAAGCTGATCACATGTGAACTGAGACCTCAGAAACACAAAAGAAACCTAGGCAGACAAACCAGGGCCTGGTTGCTGTCCCTTGTCTTGTTCACTCAAGGCTAGCACTCTACCACTGGATCCATAGTTCAATTCTAGTCTGTTTTTCATTAATCAGTGATAATATTCTCATTTAAGCCACCACTCCCAGATCTCGGCCACCTGAGCAAGTAGGATTAAAGCCATGAGCCACTGGTTCCCATTTGTGTGCATTGTTGTTGTTTTTCTGAAGAGAGGCTGTAAGGCACATTCCATGCATAGTGGAACCAGCACTACCAATATCACCTAGAAATTGGTTGGACCCTTGTGTCCCACTCCAGATCTGTTGACTATGCATTTCTTAAAGCATATTCATATAACTCATGAGCACAGTAAAGATTGAGATTTCCATCAACTATTCTTAGTCTCAAAGCTCTAGAATCAGGACTGAGAAATCTTTGTATTCTTGAGATCAGGATCAATAATACATACATATATATATATATATAATAAATATTTTTATTTAATGACTGACAAACCAGTCCCTTATTATATTAAACCAAACATTAATCTCGTATGTAATTCCTCCCATCATGTATTCTCCTTGATTGGATTGGAAATGAAAACACAATGTACTGAATTTTCCCAGAACCCAACTCCTCAAGTGAAAACAAAACATACCTTTCTGTATCCATTTTGGGTGACAAGGTGTTAGTAGATTTCTTGGAATTAACATGTATTTGAGGAACAAATAATCAAAGCTTATTGGAATGCAATAGGGAACACAGTCTTTGTGACCTATATTCTATCCTTCATACTGATTCTAACAGCACTGCAGTAAATGATGTTCTGATTCTTATTTCAGAATTAAAAGTCAACCACAAGATCCATAGTAGGTGTTCAGTGTACTACAAGGTTCTTGTTTCTCCCCTGTAAATTTAGTATTTGTGACCGTTACTTTTCAACTTTTAATAATGCTTATCAAAAAATCTATTGCCAACATTCATTTTAAAATTTAAGTTATTTATTAAAATAAACAAAATGAACTGTACAGTAATTTTACTATATACATACATTATGCACACAATGGCCATTCAGTCTGTTTTTGCTATGTCTCCCTACCCCTATTCAGACAGCCTACATGATCCCTAATAATCTCTGTTGAAGTATTCACTCAAGAGTGGGATGCCCAGAACATGTTATGCTTTCTTTTTTTTTTTTTGGTCCGGTTGTGGGGCTTGAACTCTGGGCCTGGGTGCTGTCCCTCAGCTCTGCAGCTCAAGGCTAGCACTCTACCACTTGAGCCACAGCGCCACTTCCGGCTTTTTTCTTTTTGCTTATGTGGTGCTGAGGAATCGAACCCAGGGCCTCAGGCATGCAAGGCAAGCGCTCTACCACTGAGCCACCTTCCCAGCCCTATGCTTTCTTTAATACCTTTCAATACACACATATAAAATATAAATTCTTGGGCTGGGAAGGTAGCTCAGTGGTAGTTTGCCTTGCATGCATTAGAACCTGGGTTCAATTCCTCAGTACCAAATAAACAGAAAAAGCCCAATTTCCCAAATTTATATAATTAATTTTCAACAGTTTAAACATAAAATCTTTCCCTTGCTTATAGCTGGGACTCCACTATTTGGACCATTCATCCAGCTCAGCTTTCTGATGGTATTTTAGAGATGAAGTCTAGTAAACTTTTCTTCCCAGGCTGACCTGAAAACACAATCTTCCATATCACAGCTTCTCCATAGACAAGAGTTAAAAGCGAGAGCCAATAGCACATATCAACAATATAATAAATTTGAAAATGTGAATATACACTAGCTTTTGAATACAATAACATTGTGAGAAAAGGAACCACACACACATACATACACACAAGCACATAGGTTAAAAAATAATTCAACCTTCAAAGTTTACATTTATCCCCAGGATATGTTATCTGGTGAGTAGTACCATTTTCCCCTGGAATTTTCCCATAGATTACACCTGGAATTCTCAAGGAAAGTGTGCATTCTTCCTAAAGATTCCTCCCCTGTAAAGTACAAGATCCCTTTACACTCTCACACATACTTTGACACTTTTTCAGTCTGATAGATTGCTTTTTGTGACAAATCAGGGAAAGTTGCTACCACAAGCCTTCCCCACATTGCTCACATGTAAAGGGATTTTCTCCAGGATGAATTTTTGGTATCCTCTAACATGGCAGTATTGCCTGAAGGATTTGTAGCAATAAGGGCACTTTTGGGGTTTCTATTCAGTGTGAAGTTTTGTGTGTACAAGAAGACTATATGTTGCTCTATAGGCTTTTTGAACACACCTCAAAGACATTTCTAACATTTATTTTTTTGGTATTTCTTAACATGTGACTAAGTGTTAAAAATGTTTCCACAGTGGCTACCTAAAGTATTTTTTAGTCTTCTATGGCTTATAAATGTTAATGAACAAAACAGTTTTGAACTGCACACAAATTGCAGGGAAGTCTTTTTTCCTCTAGTGTGTATTAGCTTTATCTGGTAAGATTACCATGCTTATAAAAAGCTTTGCCACATTCATTACATTCATATTGTTTTTGTTCAGAATGAATTACTTTTTTCACCTCAGAAACCAGGTATTTCTAAAAGATTTCTTACTCTCATGTCATTTACGAAGTTTTTCCCCTGTATGAATCATTGCATGCCTTTTAAGGTTAGAATTTGTGCTGAAGCATTTTCCACAACTATTACATTTATGTTGTTTGTTACCAGTGTGGACTCTGAGATGCAACTGCAAATCCGTGGGTCACAGAATGTTCTCTCACATTGACTGCATTTAAGTAATTTCTTTCTACTATGGGATTTCTTATGTTCCATTTGTTGTGTGAATGAACTTAAGAGTTTTCCATATTTTTGTTGCTGTTGTTTTCAATGAACCTATAATGTATTATGTGATTTTTTTATTTCTTTTGCATGTTCTTCCTCCATAGTATAACCCCTGTTTGCACTGTTATTTGATTCCAGTGACCTGCATCTTGTATATACATTTTTTTAATTTGGGGAGGGGAAAGGAAATTAAAAAAATGCTGAAACAAGGATACAGGTTGAGCCATTGTAACAATGAGATGTACAAGACACTATATTGAAAATGAACTTTACAACTTTGTGGGGGTGAGGAAGGGTGGAGTTGGGGAGGTGGGGATGGAAGGGATGATAGGGGGGAAAACAAAGGCGGAGGTAACAATGCTCAATAGGAAATGTACTCATTGTCTTGCTCATATGACTGTAACACCTCTGTACAGTATCTTTATAATAAAAAATATATATTGAAAAAAAGAGTTTTCCACAGTCCCTGCATTCATAATATTTTGCTCCTATCTGGTTTCTATCCTGCTCAGCCACAAAAGAGATCATGTGAGAAGGATTTGTATCTCTATCATTCTCTTTGGATCTTTCCTCATTATGAACTCTATTATGTGGCCTACCATGGGAGGACTGCCTCTCCAGCTCAATCTCAGAGTCATGCCATGAATTTGCCCTCCACTGCCAATTTCCCTACTCTGAGCAATGGTAGCTACTGTGTACAGGGGCTTAATCAGTACTGTTACATTCAGGATTGTGTCCATGTGCTAAGTCCTCCTTATTGTTCAGTGTTTCAGGTTTCAAACTATTTTGAGTAAGTTGTGCTTGTTGGGATGTAAAGTGAGTCATCCTACCTGAACATAAGCCTGTCCTGTTGTCCTGTTCTTCCTCACTCTCACTAAAAATGACAGGTTTGCTGAAGTAAAATACTATGTCACACAAGTTCTCAAAGTTCTTCAATATCACATCCCTATACATCTTTTTCTGTTCTGAACTCAATAAAACCCACTCCTCCTTGGTAAAATCTAGGGACACATCCTCAAACCGTATTGAGTTCCATGAGAAAAAGTGTGTGGTTTCTGCCTCTGTGACCATCGCTTGTTGTATATTAACAGGGAGTACAGAAGACAGAGAGAATGCAGTAGGTGTAGGGGTTTCTCCCATTTTTCAGGTCAGAAAGTAAATACACTCACACAGCAGCTAGGACAACTAGGGTACTAATAAGTTTGCTTCAACAGTCCATTCAGACAAAGTCCCAAAGCAGAAAGCCAGAGGTCATCAAAGGCACGGCTCCATTCAGGCTGCTGCTTGTATACGTTCCAGTGTGCTTGCCTTTGGGAAAAAGAAAGAAACTCTCAGAACATATGCAGGTTTATAATGCTGTTAGTGTACTTTTCTGAATCAGTGTAACCCCCAAAATGTGAATAGGTACCTCTCCCCTTAGTTGCAGGAGCAGAAAGCATTTAAGGATATTTGGGTTTACATTTCAAAATACTGTGAAGGGCTGGGAATGTGACTTAGTAGTAGAGTGTTTGCCTAGCATGCATGAAGCCCTGGGTTTGATTCCTCAGTGCCATATAAATAGAAAAAGCCAGCGTTAAGACTCAAGTGGTAGAGCACCAGCCTTGAGCAAAAGAAGCTCAGGCCCTGAGTTTAAACCCAAGGACTTGGCAAAAACTAAAACCAAAACTAAAATAAAAATGCTGTGAAGATCCAGTAGCTATTTCGCTATTTCATGTCAGCATTTCCCCCCCCCCCCCCCCCGTGGGGCTTGAACTCTGGGCTTGGGCGCTGTCCTTGTGCTCTTCAGCTCAAGGCGAGTGCTCTACCACTTGAGCCACAGCACCACTTCCAGTTTTCTAGCGGCTTATTGGAGATAAGAGTCTCATGAACTTTCCTGCCCGGGCTGGCTTTGAACCACGATCCTCAGATCTCAGCCTCCTGAGTAGCTAGGATTACAGGCGTGAGCCACCGGCTCCTGGCTTCATGTCAGCATTTGTGTCATATGTTTTATGTTTGCAATTTCTCAATGAATAATAGGCATGACTACTATGCATGTTGCTATGACTGAAGAATTTAAAGCTTTGACAGGTTATATAAGATGCCTGTGGCCAAACAAATATTAAACATGGAGTCTGGATCCAATGCAAGACAGGGCAGTTTAACTCCAGAACTCCTACCTGCAACTACTCTGCTAAACTTCTCAGCAGAAAAATATTCAAATTCCAACTTGCATCCTGAGTACCTCTACCACTTGAGCCATAGCGCTGGCTTTTTCTATTTATGTGGCACTGAGGAATCAAACCCAGGGCTTCATGCATGCTAGGTAAACACTCTACCACTAAGTCACATTCCCAGCCCTTCACAGTATTTTGAAATGTAAACCCAAATATCCTTAAATGCTTTCTGCTCTTGTAACTAAGGGGGGAGGTACCTATTCACATTTTGGGGGTTACACTGACTCAGAAAAGTGCACTAACCTGCTTGAATAGCCAGTCACCCTCTTAGTGTTTGACATACACTAAGTCATTGAACTTTCATATCTAAAGTGTGAAGATCATACTTTGTGTCCCACCATACCAGTTGGAAGAGGCAGAAACTTAGCTCAAGAACCTCCTTTATTCATGGTCAAATATTTGAGGTGGGACACTGGAGAATCTATTTAGGCATGAAGTCAACAAGACTTAGGATATATTTGACTAGGATCTTGTAGAGCCAGTATGAATCCTTCCCAGACCATCCATTTCCATGAGGCCTCAGGGAGAGACCCTTGATCATTATTAAGTGCTTTGGCCTCAAACTCCACTAGAAACCCATGAGGAATGAGACTGGTGATGGCTAAATCCTATGCTAGAGAAGCCTGAGGCCTTCAAAGCCCACTTTGAATTCTCACTTTGAATCCTCTATGAAGGTGACAAGAACAATGAGTGCTACAGAGAGAAAATAAATGAAAAGCACCACCAAAACCCTGGTGCTTTCATTTCTAAGCATAATGACTACAAATGGAAGGCTGAGCAAGAGGGCATTTCCAGACAGAAGATGGAGTCAGGCACTCACCCTTTATTCTGCTGAAAGTTCAGCCTTCAGTGACTATAGTTCAGCCTGCAGCTGTGGTGTCTTCTCAATCCAGTTAAATGTTCCTGTTAGACAGGGAGCTGGGGAGAAGAGTGGAGAACTCCTCAGCTAAATTTCCCCCAAAGACCAGCATTCTCAGAGCTTAAGTATGTGAAACATCCCAATGTTTTCACTCTTCACCAATAATAGAGAAGTAGCAAGGCATCAAATATTCTTGGAAGCATATATGTCAATCAAATAAGTTACAAAGCTTATAGATGTTGAATTCACTGACTGTGAATGAACAGCTCAAAGATGGCAACTACTGCTCTTTACTAAGCAAGAGGTTCAAAACATACCCCCAAGTCATTCTCTTCATATTGAAGCAAAATGGTGCAATTAGGTTCAAACTCCAAAAGTGAGCATGGAGCCTGTGGGTCACAAAAATAATATTACATAGTAAGGGGGCTAAGATCTGAGGTTGGAAGTATGAAGGCAGCCTGGGGAGCAAAGGCCAGAAGGCTCTTAGGTCTAATCCAACAGAAAGAAGTTGGAAGTAGAGGTGTGGTTCACGGAGTAGAGCGACAGCCTTGACACAAAAAAGCAAGTGTGAGCTCAAGGCTCTGAGTTCAAGGCCCAGATCGAACACACACAAAAATGAGAGTGGAACAGTGTGCCAATGTCACAAACGGTTAGATAATAACAGTATTATGTGATTATGTAAAAAGAACCATGGAGAAAATAAATCAGAAACCAATATGTGTACCTATAGCAAGCAGGCTGGGGTAGATAAGGGAATGCAAAAATGGAACCTTCCAAAAATCTATTGGGAAAAAAGAAAGGGAAATGGAACTTTTTGATTTTAATACCTTCAATACAGTGTTGCTTTATGATCTTCGTAAGTATACTTGTATTTTTAATGAATGCTAACAAAACAAAAATGTATTGGGAAAGCAAAAGAGAAAGGAATCTCAGGAGGGTAGAAAAGAAAAGTCCATGAACAGTTTTCCAAATACTAGTTGAAACTGAATTCAGGAAAAGAAGAGGATCAGTTTCCTCTCCTCAGAGACAGCTGGCATGATTTGAACTTTGGACTGATACCATTGACTGGCCCTGTGCCCCAGGGAGGAAGAAGTTTCCTTGATGACCAAGGGAGTTGAGGAAGTCCACCTTGGTTAAGGGACTGAAGCAACAGCACGTAGCAAGTCAGCTGGCATAACTTTCATGGCTGCTCATGTGCATTCCTCTTACTTTCCCTCTTAGAAGAATGCTATCTGTGCCCATGCCTCCTATATTTTAGATGGGGACTTCTATATCTTGTCAAAATCCTTAGGCCTTTTTTCTGTTTTGTATTCCAAGAAATGGTAGCTGCATTTGAACTCAGGGACTCAAACTTGTTTGGCTTTATCATTCAGGACTGGTGCTCAACCAGTTCAGTCATACCTTCAAGTCCTGCTTTTTGAGGGTTAATTAGAGATGGAGTCTTTCAGACTTTTATGCTCCCTGATAGCATGAAAAGTCTATTCCACTGGTCTCAGCCTCCTGAGTAGCTAGGATTACAGATGTGATCCACTGGCACTTGGTTGATAGATGGGTATTTGTTCCCTGTGGCATTATTCATTGTGAATTATCCCTTTTCTTCAAAACACCCTCCCCAAATTTAACTTGGTTTTGGTGATATTGAAAGCAGCATCCCACCATCTTGGAATTCACTAACTACTAATTCTTCCAACAGATTCGATCATACACTCAGCTTTCCTAAGCCTCTTTCAGGCTTAAACTCTTTGGCTGGCTTCACATTCTCCAGTCCCTGCTTTAATCTATTTCAGTTGCCATCACGGTATAACATCCAAGACTCACTCCTATACTTTTTTGGGGGTCAGTCATGAGGCTCGAATTCAGGGACTGGGCCTGTCCCTGAGCTCTTTTTGCTCAAGGCTAGTGCTCCACCACTTTGAGAGACAGTTCTACTTCTGGTTTTTGAATGATTAATTGGAGATAAGAGTCTCATGCAGACTTTTCAGTCTGGATTGATTTCAAACTGTGATCTTCAGATCTCAACCTCTTGAGTAGCTAGTAGTACAGGTGTGAGACACCAGCACACAGCTCACTATGCTTTTATCTCTATCCTTTTATCCTTCTAAATTTCTTTTTTTGTTTTTTAGTATTTATTCAAAAATTTTATTATTTATTTTTATCTGTAGTTGCATAGGAGTTGCAATTTAACAAAGCAGTTTATAAATCCAGTATTTCTTGATCAATGTCAACCCTTTCAACATTCTCACCCATCCCTCCCCTAACCACCTCTTCCCTCCCTTTACTTAATTTTGGAGGTTATAGATTGGATTCTTCATTTGTATTATCCACCTCTTCTCCTCTTCATTTGTCCACCCTTTTCCCCTTGACCCCACCCTACGTGTTTTGAGTATCCACTTTCTGATTCTTATTGGTACCGAACTTGGACTTTACTTTTCTAAGGACTTACACTATTTGGGTTCCCCCTTACTTCTACTGCATTTCAGTTAATACATTTACAATCACCACATACCACTCAATGTATTTACTTATGAGTTTATAAGCAAAATCTTGCCTCCATATATGAGGGAAACATGGATCCTCTAAATTTCTTTTTTGTGTATGGGTCCTACTGTTTGAATTCATGGCATAGGTGCTGTCCCTGAGCTTTCTGCTCAATGCTAATGTTGCACCAGTTGTTTCATAGTATGATCCTGACACCTGCTGGGTAGCTAGGATTATAAGCCTCAGCTACCAACACCCAGCCTACATGCTAATATTAATTGAACAACAAAGTTTCATACCAAATGTTAACAAGCATTCATTATAATCATTAAGTTAGGAAATCAGTATAATTTGTGTCTGACAAGATTTGCTATTCAGTAAATGACATGTTCACTCATCTAGCACAAGTCCAGACTCAGGACCTCCAGTCAGCTTTAAGAAAGATGGGAAGGGGTAAGGATATTGGAAACATTAAAGAATTTTTCTTTCTTTCTTTCTTTCTTTCTTCCTTTCTATCTTTCTCTTTCTCTCTTTCTTTCTCTCTTTTCTCTCCCCTCCCTCTCCCCCCCCCCCCTTTTATTTTATTCAAGACTACTGGTCTACAACTTCAGCCCTTTCTCCATTTCCATTTCCTGTTGTTTGGTGGTTAAATGGAGAGAAGTGTCTCAGGAACTTTTCTGCCCAGGCTGCCTTTGAAGCACAATACTCGGATTTCAGACTCCTAAATAATTAGTTTACAGATGTTCAGTACCACCCGCTTTGTAAGGGTAGTTAAGTTGTGCTCCCATTTTTTCTTGTTCTCTGACAATGTACCAAGAGAACATCTCAGTGTCTGTACCATCCATCCTCTTGTTTTCACCTCATTCTGCATTTTGGGTCCCATTCATTCTTCTCTGACTATATCAGTTTTCTATCATGCTCTTGAGTTTGGGGGATTTTTTTAGGTCCTTCCTCCTGGGCATCTCCCACTGCATGGGAAAAGAACACCCATGTGCAGAGCATCAATGTTGGGGTCCTTTCCTTATCACTATTCTTGAATTATCTTGTGATACTTTCAGTGTTGGGACTCTTAAAAAACTGAAATGTCTCCCTAACTCCATCATTGGATTTCTGGGTCATCAAGATGTTAAGTCCCTTCATTTTGAGGAAAGGAGAATCTTTTTCTTGGAGACCAAAAATGTGAAACATTCTGTATGCTGGTGGCTCACTCCTAAAATTGTAGCTACTCAGGAGCCTGAGATCTTAGAATTTAAGTTCCAACTCAACCCAGGCTGGAAAGTCAACGAGCCTCAGAAATGGCCACATAACAACCAAATGTCAGAAGTGGAGTTGTGGCTAAAGAGGCAGAGTACTAGCCTGAGGAAAAAAAGATGGTGTTGCGACTCTTAATTCAATTCCCAGGATTGGCAAACAGAAACAAATTGAAACATGGAATTGGAATCTGGGGTATAACTCAGTGGGAGAGTATAAGCATATCATTTGGGATACTCTGGCTTCAACCTAACAAAGAGAGAGAGTGGTGGGGGAGAGGGAGGGGAGATGAGAAGAAGAGGCAGAGGAGCAGGAAAGGAAGGTAGAGGGAGGAGCAAAATGAAGACAGGAGAAAGAAGAAGACAGAAGATGGCAGGAGAGGAAGGAAGAGAAAATAAGAAATATAAAAAGGGATGAGGAAGAAGGAGAAGAAGAAGAGGAGAATGGAGAAGATGGAGAAGGAAGGTATAAAGTACAAAAACAGGGTGGAGTTGAAAAGGAAGGGAAGGAACAAGCCTGGTTGAATAGCAAGTACTAGCCTTGTATTTTCTCAAGAGGGCATATCACACACTGACTACCACAGTTATTTAGTTGTTTAAAGACTACAAACTTCTTGTTCAGCCATTTGGCCTCCTGACTGCTGGAGGGGATGTAATCCATGAAATCTGGTGGATGTTTCTTTTCCTTTCCATGTCTGGGATCCCTTTCCATGTCCCTGCCCGAAGTTTCAAATTCTGCCCATCCTCCAGAACTAGTCAGGGCAGAGGTACAAACACCAAGGGTGGATCTGTGAAGCATCACACTTGAGTTTGACTGACCTCTGCTACAATTCCACCAGCATCCCATGTCTACTTGCCTTATCTTCTCTAAAGTCATTGAGAAAAGTCTGTGAAATATAGCAAAAGCTACTAGGCTCCATGTTAGCTCTCCTCTAATTCTGAGGGCTTTTTTTGTTTTATTGTTGTATTGTGTGTGTGTGTGTGTGTGTGTGTGTGTATGTATGCTCGTGCGCATACACGCATGTATATGTGTTTGCATGGTCCAACATCAGGGTTTGGACTCAGAACCTGTTGTGCTCACTTGACTTTCTTTTTTTTGTCAGTCATGGGGCTTGAACTCTGGACTTGGACACTCCCTCAGCTCTTCAGCTCAAGGTGAGCACTCTACCACTTGAGCCACAGCACCACTTCCGGTTTTCTAGTGGTTTACTGGAGATAGGAGTCTCATGGACTTTCCTGCCTAGGCTGGCTTTTAACCGTGATCCTCAGATCTCAGCTTCCTGAGTAGCTAGAATTATAGGCGTGAGCCACCGGCACCCAGCTTCACTTGA